CACGGTTTGGACCAGAAAGGGCCCAGAGACTCCAATACCCCTTAATTAAGGAATATACCTTAAATCATATTAGGGATCCTACTATAATTTAAGGTATATTCCTTCATTAATGGATATTGGAGTCTCTGGGAAAGGCCTGGGCCACAAAGGTTGGCCCAGTTGGCATCATGGGCAGTGGCGCCGCGAAAGTCTCATCTCGGGGGCATCACCACCACCACCACGAGGAGGCCAGGCCAACGAAGCCCGATGTAATGTTTAGGGTTTAGTGTTCAGGGTTTAGGGTAATGTAGGAACCTGATGAAGAAACCCTGGCCCTATGACCCCAAACTAATTGGAATTCATACAAGGAACCCTGATAAAGACCCAAGGTTTCTTAATCAGGTTCCCATATTACTGTTGATGATCTAAATCCTGCGTTACCTTAAGGCCCCGAAACTGTGGGATTTATGGTAGATTCCCTATTATGGGTGATGCAGGATTATTGTCATCAGCCGTAGTTTGGTCCTTTGTCAGGGATGGATACGCGTGGGTTTCAGGGAGTTCGTCACAAAGTCCACAAGGTTTGCCGAGTAGTCTGGGGTCAACCTGGCCGCCATCACAGCCTGCAGTTGACGGGGCTTCGGACATCGGACATGTAGTCCTGTGGGTAGTTCTCTCAATTAGGGTCCCTTTTTAGGTCCCCAATATAGTACGGCAGCCTTATAAAAGTGACCCTAAAAAGGGACCCCTAATTTAGAGAACTACCCATGTGGTGTCGAAACGTCACGGGCCTGAGAAGCGAATAGTGCTTCCAGGGACGTCCTCAGGCCGGTCCTCGAAAGAGCTGGCGGTGACTGGTCGTGGGTCGAATATCGGTTTGGGCCGTTGTGTGGTGCTGGCGGGTGCTGGTCGCGGTCGCGGCAGTGGCATCTGCCTCCGCCGTGCAAGCCGTGCTAGCAAGTCCGGTTCGAAGTTCGAGGCGTAAATGCCCGAAACGGTGCTCTCGTAGGTGCAAAACTCGAGGAGTTCGAGCCTTCATCAACCAGGCTTATGAAATCTCATGAATCTAGGTTTCTGGGAGCTGCGGTTCGCCGCTCTGCGCCAGGAGATGACCCCACTGGACGCCGCCAAGCACGGCGACCGGGATGCCCAGGCCGTCGTGCTGCGTTTTTTTTTTTACTGTGGGCGTAGTATGCTACCACAAGACAAGGTACCAGAATATACCACAAGATACGCTAGTCTATATATCACCATCTATGAGATCCAACCCTAAACCCTAAACCCTATGGGTACAATCTCTTCCTATTTCCTCATAAAGGGGGGGAGGCTCAGGGCTTCCTTGCTTTCGTTTGAGCCTCGACTCTTGCTCCAAAGCCATAGATCTCTAATATAGGGGCCTAAATAACTACTCATACTATTCTGCAAAGGGATCCTATAAGGTTCCTGTAAGGTTTCTATAAGGGTTCTAGTTGGGTCGTTCTCTAAATTAGGGTCCCTTTTTAGGGTTCCTTTGAAAAGGGTGCCGTACTATATTGGGGACCTAAAAAGGGATCCTAATTTGGAGAACTGGATATATCTCTAAGTATCTTATGGTTTGGTCTGTGGTGGTACTGTACTGTAATATCTTGTGGTCTATGACGGTATCTTATATTAAGGTAGTGTACTACACTCTACATTCCTTAACAAGAGCCCACTCTGAACGCATCAGCCCTAAACGCCGAAATTCTTACATCCTCAATCCGGCTCTCCGTTTGGAGATGCGCCCCTTGCTAGCTCTGCCATGTTTAAAAGGGACCCTAATTTAGAGAACTACCCGCATGGATGACAGACAACCCGAAGCCTTTACTCCCACCAGTTGTTGTGAGACCCGCACATCAGAGGAATGCTTGAACCGGATAGTGCGGTGGCCTGAGTGGCACATCCAGGTTCATTGACCCCCCAAGCTACCCCCAACAAATGCAAATCTGTCAGAGATTCAGCCATTCGCTCGGTGGAAAGCACTAATCACTAAACACAGGATGGGAACTTGAAAAACGCTGTACGCCTCAGGCCCAGGACCCCTCCTCCACCCACACGTGCCCAATTCCAAACCTGGCCTGGAGAGATGCTGTGACCCTGGTTGAACGCACGGCCAGATGCCACGCCATCGAATGCCAAGACATTGCCCGACAGCGCGGCGCGGTGCTCTAAGCGTGTGTATGCTGATGGAACCGTCGATCCCTGGGAATCTGTGGGCAAGCTGATGCAACCTGCCATATGTACACTCAGCAGCTAGCGATTTGTCCAAAGTTTGAGCCAGAACGGTTCTAATTGGGAGTTATTTGTGTTGTGGCCTGTTAAAAGCAAAGAACCTGCCGTTCAGATGTCAGCCGGGGGGGGGCTAAAATTCTTAACTTGAAACTCTCACGCCACGATCTTTGACCAATACTTCGCTACTAGGGGCAGCTAGCGGGCTGAAATGCCCCCGGTCCAACCCTAGTGGTAACTTCGGGCACCTGGTGAGCCGAAGAGCTCCCATGCACAGCCCAACCTTAATGCGTGGACAGAAAAGCCACCGGCCCAATCTTAATGGTAACTTGGGACGTCGCCTCCTGCCCAATCTGAAATACCAACTTGGGGCATCTGGGGGGCTGTAAAGCCCCGGCACAACTAGGGAGGCATGATGGGCTGAAAAGCTCCCCCATCTGGTGGGCTGAAAAGCCCGTGGCGTCAATTTGATGGTGTTCGAAGCCACGTGTTTTGCTTTTTGGCAGGGGTGGGCCTTGCTGAACCTTCATGCGAAGAGATGCATGGTATTGGGGCTTATTACGTCTCAACCCCGCAAACACTGCAGACTCTAAGTCTGGGATGCACTTCGAGACATTGCTAGCTGTGCAAGATTCTTGCACGGGCGAGCAAGTAATAGAGCGGAAGGGAAGCCGGTGGAAGGCAAGCAGCAAGCCTGTTTTCGATGCATGGTAGTATTTTCCGAAATGCAGCCAAGTGCTGTGCGATGGAGCACGCGCTAGAGGACGCATCATGTTCAGGGTGTCAAAGCTTCATAAGATGCCCACTTTTGCGAATGCCTGCAGAGCACTAATGGCAAGGTAGGCATACGTAGGCGTTGGCGCTCCTCCGTGTTTTCCATGTGATGGCTTACGAAGAAAGCAACACTTTCGTGGACTGGGCAAATGACTTCTCAAAGGCCAGATGTGCTGCAGGCTGCTTAGGCGTCTCAAGCCCTATCTCGGGCATGGAGTCATGCAGAGCACTTGGCATGAAAATGAACAGAATCACATATGCTCATACCATGTTGCTCCGGCACAACGACTACAACTCCGCACGGCCATATAGTTGCTAAGGGTGTGGTCGCTGGTTCAGTAGCTCGTTCACGGGACTGCGCAGAATGGTTTCACTTCAGGATTCAGGAGTGCACTCGAACTACATGCTGCACCGCATGGGCGACAGCTCAAGAGAGCGTGTCGCAGGCATAGTTAGCATCCACTCTGCTAAATTGCAGCCATGCACTGGGATCACGTGACTTGGTTGCATTGCTCTTCGGCGCTGTGAGATGATAGCTCTGCCACGGTTGTCAGCCGAATGAAAGGAGCAGTGCCATGTCATCGCGAAACAATTCCTGCATGACTTGTCTTGAAGGCCACCTTCGCCCAAGAGCTGCATTCCTCCAAAGACCAGAGCTGAGATTATTTCGCATCGTGAGCCAGAGAAGCCAGCTGATTCTTAATGCTTTTGGTAGAATGCTGCGTGTGTCGCATGTTCACAGCTCCTTTTCTCGTTACGCCGTGATATTTTGTCGTAGCTTCGATTGTTCCTTGCAGCAGCCTAGAGGTCAGCAAAGACTACAAGAGAGTGAAGGCACTCCTGGCGAGCGCGGTGGCCTTAGCCCATGCTGTAGCTTCCAGGCATGCCCCAGGAACACTCATGAATCATTCGGGAACGATTGCTTTTCCGCGCAAAAAAAAGATTCGGAATGCTCACCCTGAAATGCACATTAGTTACGTCGCACGGTCATGAAGTTGCCGGTGTGACCGGTGCGACCTCTACAATCGGAGTGGGTGCTGATTGCCCAACTGCGAGAGATTGCGAGCAAATCCCAAAATGCTGATGAAGTCTGCTGCTGCACATACGTACGGAGGCTGTAGGGTTGGCCTCGGTTGTAGCTTGACCCCTCAAACTCCGAGCCATGTGCCGAAAGCATGTGCAGAAATGAGGTGGCTGAAGACAACTATTGGCGGCGGGAGCATTTTGGTCGAATACCCCGGACAATTCCCGTGAGTCCGAGACCTAGTGCAGCTGCAAACATACCGCTTCAAAGACTTTGACCTGCTATGACTTGCACCATAAGTCAAAGCTGACTTGCTCGTGCAGGATGTTTGTGAACAGTGCTCATGAGGCTACCATGAAGCTGGCGAAAAGCCAGAATCCAAGCAGTCGTTCATCCATCCAGCCATGATGTGCTGCAGCATGCATTCACGTAGAACCTGATGACCTGCAGTAACTTGACGAAATTTGACCAACGGAGAGGTTGCGATTCGTCAGGTTCAGGCCGAGATCTGCGCCGCTTCCTGTGATCTCGTTTTCCAGGCGGGTTGCTGATGATCGCGTTGCTGAACATATCAGATTGCTCATGTCGTGAGACATGACTGACTGACTGAAAACCATAGCATCAAGAGAGCTCCCGCACCACTGGAGAGAACGACTGCAAGCACAAATCAAGTATAATCGATATCAGTTTTGGTGAAACTATCTTCTCGCTGCATGCTCCCTTCAATCGGACAACACAGCCAGCCACATGCAAAGATGTACCGTTCAAGCGCTAAGCACCACTCCTCATATTCTCCCGTCCGCACAGCTTCATGTCAGGGTCCCATTAGCAGAAATGGGCGGTTGCCAGGATGGACACCGCAGATGCACTTCTGGCGCTGGGCAGGCAACGTGGTCGGAAGGTGAAGGTCTCGGTGCCTTGTGCTGGGATTCATGATGCAAGTGCTGCCTCTTGCATAACAAATGGCCTGTTGTGAGTCCTTTTACTCCACGCAGCAAGCTACCGTCTAAGGCAGACCTATGCGCCAGGCTTTTTTCAGGAGCAGTGCCATATCTTCGTCATTCTTCGTCGGTGCCGTACATATGCGAAATCCCGTAACTATATAATGAAGGGATAAACTCACAATGCTTGTACGTTGGAGCCCCAGGGCGGCTCGCTGTGGCTTTGCAGAATCAGAGCCGTCACATAGCTCTGAGGTTTGTGCACTTAACTTCGCAAATGGCAAGGACGCAGGCGCGACTTGACACGCACACCAGCCTGGCTGTCTTCCTTGTATCCCATCGTCCAGAAGTCTCCAGGGCCGTATTCGTTTGGCATCGCATTCGCACATTTCCGCGGTTGCCAGGTGGGGGCTACAAGAACGGGGCCTCCGCACAGGAAGAGGATCTTTGCAGGCCCTTGCTCCGGGGAATATCAAGTAGTTGTGAGCTTGATGAGTCGCTTGCTCGCTTGTTTGTGCCGCTACTCAGCATTGGCAGTGCTTCTGGCCGGAGTCGGCTGATACAACTTGATGACATAAATCCTGCATTACCTTCAGGACCCCAAACTATGGGAATTATTGTATTCCTTGTTGCCAGTATGGGTAATGCAGGACTTAAATCATTAAACGTGCAATGCAGTAGTCTGGAGTAGTGCATGGACTCCTGCAGCCGACCTCTGGAGCACCATCTTGCCGAGCTATTCATAATGACCGGACATTGCCCACGATGCCAACAGACCCAGATACCTCGGATTAATTAGACGTTTCAACTCAGCCTTTGGAATGCTGTGCAAGCTTTTGTCAGCGCTTGCGCATGGCAGCCATGTGCACGAATGTGTGCCAACACTGTCGGGAGGGCCAAGCTCGGAGTTTGTGAGTGACCCTCACCTGTTCTATCTTGGTTCGTGTGCGATTGATGTGACGTGTTCTTATCAAGTCTTGTGTTGCATGCTCTTGACACTCGCTTTCTCATCATGTGACAACTCATCCGCTCTGCGACCTCCATCGATCTAGCTGCCCATCTACTCATCGAATTGTTGGCTGCCCGCATCATCAGCCGAGGTACTGACAGACGTAGCTTCCATGCAGTTTATTCGTCAGTGCGCAATTGCTGCGTGCGTGGATGAACCTGTCGTATTTGGGTGTTTTTCTGTCATTGCATGCGCAGTAATTAGTTAACCTTGGGGCGACTCGCCAGGCGAATACCGCTGCTGTACTCTTCCCTGCTCGGTGCGAAGAAAGAGGGCTGCATCCTGAGATGACCGTAATATAGGGGTCTCAATAACTCCCTATATTATTTTGGGGGTTGCTTATTATAACTATAGTATAAGGGGCCCCAAAACCCTATTCTAATGATTACAAATCAGCCCGTAGTTCCAAGGCCAGTAGGTTGGATTCGTTGGATTCGAGGTGCCAGCAAAACTCGTACTGGGGGACCCATTGTAGTGCTTGTACTACACTATAGCCAGTAGTGGCCAAAACTACCATTTACTGGTAGCGCCGCCTGTGACTGTAAGGAGTAACCACAAGCACCCGTTGTCTACATTTGAGTTGCTAACATGCGACTATTGCGGACTGCAGCAGCTGTGCTACTGATATACGTGCTATCATTATCTGCATTCATACCTGCTCGCAGCTGACACCAACCCAGGCGGAGATGCCAGTGCAAGTGCAAGTGTAATCATACCACAATACGACACCAACAAACTGAAACAGTGCTTTAAAGCCTGATTCCCACCAGTAGTAGTCAGAATATGATGCGCGCATGAGTATTGGTACTTACTATCACTACTTGTACTTGTGCTAGCACGGAGGCTACTCGTGCAACTGCTGTCAGCAATGAGAAGTACTTACAGCTGGATGTAGGCAGAGACAGACGGTGATGCTGAAAACAAGCAGCTCAGACTTCCATGCCTCCTGCCGAGGGCTCTACCCCTTCGGTCCTCCGACATGCCCGTCCACGGGCCAGCCAGAGTGAAGCCGGCAAGAATATGGGGGGCTTTTGAGGTGCAGCGTAGAAGTGTGACATGGAGCCAGGAAATTTCGAGACGTGCTCTACACAACGAATCTCGTTGTCGGCAGAGCGAGTCAGGAGGAAGGGTTTGCTTCCCAGTCTCGACCAAGCCTGACGGCTCGAGGTAGCACAGGAAGCTGGCAGGTCGCTGTACACCCTTCTTGACTTCTTGAGGTATCGGATCTTGCACCGGGATGAGCAAGCCACTGTGCCAAAATCTTACTCGATGTGGGCGTGGAGGCTCCCGTTCTCTGAAACTGGATGCCGGACAGCGTTCAGCTGCTGAGGTCACTAGTTGCTGCGGCAGCTCCCAACCTCAAATTCGGCAGTGATGCTGCTCGGAACGCAGACATGACAATGCGCACCCCCCACTCCGCCACACAAAAGGCACCTCAAGTATGCTAGTATGCTCGCTCAGAACATGTCAGTTGCAACAATGCTGCCGCGGCTGTAGCGGCAGCAGCAGCAGTGTCGAAACACGACTTGTGCGGCGGATGAGCGCATGATCGTTTACAGAGCAGCATCACAATCCTGCGGTGGCAACACACTGTGCACCTGTCGGCATATGCAGTTGCTAGGCCCTCGGGATCCCAGGAAGTCATATTTTCCCACGAACCTGGGGGGGGGGGGGGCCTTCTGAGCTCTGACAGAAGCCAATACCGCCGACAGCTGCAATGCTCGTCCACTTGACACGTTGAATTCCTGTGTCGCATCCCTTCATCTGATAATGGTCCTTCCGACTTCATGCGACTCCCATCTCATCTCAGTCTTGAAGCGCCCGCCTCATGGACGTCTGAGCCCTGCCAACTCCGGCCTTCTCAGCTCTTCTCGGTAGTGTGGGCGTGGTCTTTGTGTTAAGACACAGGCAGTACAGAGCAATGTGGCTTAGCATGCCGTGATATTAGGAGTTCACAAACATGTAGATGCCTGCATGTCATGACATGAGCGGCATGACCATCTGCGCGATCATCGGTAAATATCGGTAGCTTTGTGGGTCTGCCAAGGTCAATGACGCACAACTGATCTACCAGACGATGGTGAATATCTTCAGAGCACCACACTTGTGGGAGCCAGGCCAGACCAGGGAATTTCTGAATGCTATGCAGCTGCACATGTGGGTTTCAGAAATTAGGAGACCCTAATATAGTACCCTAAATAATAGGGTCCCTGTTATAAGGGCCCCAAAATAAGGTACCCCTAATTTTCTGAAACTCCCTCATCTCCAAGAGTCATGACGTCAAGTGAAAGGCATCAACACACTGATTCTGGGTGCGTGGGGCTGTGGAGCTTTTGGCCAAGCACCCAGAAAACCTGCTTGCCCGGCTTATACACGAAAGAAGGAGTGCCTAGATAAGGTGGACATATGTGGACTGCGACCTAGATGCGGAACTGCGGCCCTCGTCGAGCGATGTACAATGCAAATTCTTCTTGTGATGCTTGAATGGCCAAGTGGAGTCTCCATGCTTTCCTCAATTGGGGTTGGGGGCTCGTTCAATATGAAGACGCCTGGGGTGCGATAATCTGCCCGCGGTGAATCTTGGTGTTCGCCACAGTCTAACTTTAAGCATTTTCTTATGGATGCCGAGGTGCACCGGGCTGCCCAAGGGCCAGTCTATGCTTCTCATGTAAGTGTACGTTAGCGTCCATAGGCAGGGTCAGCCCACCCCCCCTGCCAACTAGGGTCGGAAGTGGAAGGCAGAAGACGCTCCACAGTAGCAGATAAAAGCAGGGAAGCTTTCTCAATGCTAGCACTACTAGGATACTAGGATGAGTTGACTGTCTTCACACAACTGGTACGCCTCAGAAACACTTGCAGATTCCGGATGAAAAGGGTGGCGACGGAAGAGCTTGCCCCATGGCTCGTGTCCACTGAGGTGGAGATCCCTCCAGAATCGCTGACCTCTTTTTGCAAGCGCTCCATGGCTTGGATCAAGAGAAGGAAAACCACTTGAAAACGCTCCCCCTGTTTTTTTTGCCCAGGCTGCTGAAAGATGGCTGTGGACAGCGATGCTGGCCTGTCAGAAGTGTTTCGGCATCGTCCGAAGTGTATTCGTTTCTGTTGCCGACACCTTCATCTTATAGCGGTGGGAGCGAATTGTTGGATGGCCTTCGCCGGGCAACGATGGCAGGGGCTACGAGGAGGTGCACTTCGCCATTCCCCAGTTCACTCCCGAAGATCCAAATTACGCAGCGCACCAAGAGTGGGGTTCAAACCGCACTTTGGGCGACCGGCACAGCTCCGTTGCTCTGTCGCTGTTCGTGAGTACCACAAACAAGCGGTTTGAATCCTTCCTTGTCGAATCCTGCCTGTTCACTCACCGCACGTGCTCATGATAGACTTGCCCGTGGAAACTGAGAAAACATTGTCGTCTCACTTAGGCTGGAGGAGGCGCCAGCATGTAAACTTGCGCATGTTCGTCGCTGGCCTCTTTAGGCTGAAGCGTTTATGTTTTAGTAGAGCTGGGCGACCATCCCGCCCGAGCAGACCTGGTCATGGCAAGTGCAGGGCGCTTTGCAGCACTGAGCAACATGCGCAGCCCATGCAAGCCGGAGGCCACAACTGCCGCAGCGTTCATCTCTCATCCTGAGCATGGCATCGACAGCGTCCACAACGAGCCGAAGCGACTGGCATCTCGCGACTCTTTCTTGTCTACGACATGTCCCGATGAGGAGTCTTTGGCTGCTGGAATAAGCTTTCCGCCAAACCGCCTGCTCCATGACCAACACCTTCTTCAGATGGACCAGCTACTCGAGGACCGCCAGATTCTGCATCAATCGTTCAGCTAGTAACTAGACTTCAAGGACAAGTCGGGGCAACTGGTCGAAGTTGGTTTTGCTTCTGCCGGCGGCTAGAACACGATAGATACTGTAGATCATCGATGGTTGTGAACTCGCCGAGAAAGCTGGGACTGTGTGGAATTCAGGGTTTCCACGAACAATCTTGCGACCCAGGGGCGACGAAGGAACAAAAGAAACAAATTGGATCTAAAGCTTGTTGTTTGCTTGTGTACACCTGGGCCACATGCCCCCCACGTCAAGTGACGGAACTTGCAAACTTCCTGGAGGAAAGGCCGTTTTGATTCGTTGACTCATGCCGTGGCCAAGATACGGCAGTCTGCCTTTCCCTGCACTCTCATGATGTGTTTGCAATGGAGAACTCAAGAGATGCCGTGCGTATGCAGGAAGAAGTTTGTGACACAGAACCTGTGTTGCTCCTGGTGAGGACATCTTGCATGCTCCACACAAGCTCAACACCGAGGTGGCCCATCGTCGGCGGGATGCGTTCGATCAGGACAGACGGGCTGATGCCATCAAGACCTTCATGAGGAAGCTGTGGTGAATCCCCTGAAGCCTTGCAGGTCTCAAGGACCAGGATGCATAAATCAACTCTTGTACAGCATGATCTTGGCCGGTCCACCGAACTCCTTTTTGCTGCAGTGGTCTGGGGATCCGGAGCAACCCAGCAGAGGTGCCGCCTTGCCGCCTGTTGCCTGGAGGGCAGCAGGTGTGCGATGTCAAAATCCTCTAAGACTGCGCCGGGACTCTTGACCTTCGGGTCGGGCTAAGACTCGTGTCCGTTGTATCGAGGTCTAGTGGACCATGTTTTGTCTTTGAAGGCAAGGACGTATAATATTTTAAGTCGCCAGTGACCAGCCCTTGAAGATGTAGCTGCGTCCTGTAGAATCTTTATCTACATCTGGCACTTTTAGACCTTTTGACCGGCTTTTCCTGGACGGGAGGGCTGGAGGGATGTGCAAGGACAGCCAAACGACGCTCAGAAGATCAGCCCTTCCTGCCAGCCGACAGTTCCGTGGGCTCGCGCCCGTACCGTTACTTTACGAGGTTTAATCTCACTTACTTCATTTGAATCTATTTTTGATAGGTTTTGGCACTTACTGGCAGCAAGTGTCTCAAGACTACTTCGAGCAATACTTCGGCACTACTGGGCATTATCTGTAGGGTGCACGGGGCAATGCACCTGCAGTCCTGCATGTGTGGTTCCTGCACGTTTGCGATGTGTGACGAGACACACAAAACGGAGCAATACACGTAGAATGCTGTAGGCCCGGAGGTTGTCGCATGTGCCGTTAAGGTCTTGAGACATTTGAGACATGGCCAGAAAGATGCACGAGTACGCACAGCGTCGCGGATCTTCACGGAGTGTGATCTGTCGTCAGATGTGCTCACGACTTACGAGCTGCACATTGGGAGTCTGCTCGTTTCGGGGTAGCCTCGAGGCCTCGATCCTCGAGCTCTTGCACTTGAAAAGATGTTCCGGCTGTGGTTCTGCCAGTGATGGCAATGATGCGTGCAAGAACAATAGCCCTGCCACGGCCAGTACGAAAGCGTCTCCGTCATAGTCGCCATGATCATGACTGTCATCCCGTTCAGTCAAGTCAAGCATGGCACGGAGAAGTGTTGTCAGTGAGCACTCTCGTACTTGCAGCAGCATGCTTTAGGTGCTAGTGAGACATGTATCAGTCGCGATATACCAGTCACCAGTTTCATCTTCGTCGTCCTACCGAGCTGTATTCGTAGCAGTGGCAGGAAGCGGTGGTGCTGGTTGTTGTGCTGGCGGTGGTGGTGTTGACAGTGGCGGTGGCGGTGGTGGTAATCGTCCTCCTGGTCGGCGGTAGTGCTGTCACCATTGTCATCATGGTCACGTGACTGTCGAATCACGAGTAGTCCTGTTGTTGAAAACACTGTTGCGACTGTGGCCGTGGCTGCATATTGACATCGGGTGCCCGTTAACAGGATTTTCGCTCTGGGAAGAATAAGACATGCTTGACTTCTTCTCGAATCTGAGGCCGTATTTCGAATCACCGGCTTGTTTGGGCTGCAACTTGCACTTGCCAATTTTGATAATCGTCCGAAGGAGAGTGTTCGTGGGTGGTCTGTGAGAGAGCAACTGGATGCTTATCCGATGTTTAGGGCCAGAGTCGCAGCGCAAAGTCTCAGGACAGTACGGATGCAGCCATCACGACAGGAAAAGTTTTTCAGGAGAAGATCGATGTAAAGGACTACGACTGAGCCCCACCTTTTCCTCGGGGGCGGCCGACATCATAGGTTTAGGGCCTAGGGCTTGGCTTCTTTGTGCCCGTCGACGGTCACAGCACTGGTGCAAGTTTGCCCAGCATTTACCTCTGCAGACCGCCCGTCCACACAGGCCGCGTCTGTAAAAACTGTGTGCAGACTGCAGCTTTTTTTGACATCTGTGTGCTGAACTATGGTTCGCTGCCTTAGGCAGCATCACAAGCAATGAATGACGCGTTAATCACTTGGAGCAAGGTGTTGACATTTCGAGCACAGGGCTTTTGTGCAGGCTTCTCTGTACTCCAGGCAGTGCAGACAGGCATTTGGGCAAAGGGAATATCATAAACTCATCGCTGCCTTGCCGTCGCCTTGGCTCCAGAAAATTCAGACACACGCACACACGCACCCACACTCACGCAAACACCAACGCACACAAGCAAACAAAGCGATGCCATGTGAACACCGCCAAGTTAAGTTGGATGCAGCTACCTCAGGCGTGTCACAGTATTCCCTTCAAGACAGCTCGCTCTCTTCCACGCATGTTCCAGGCAACTACTGCATGTCGAGCACTTGCCAACTATTTCATTTCTCGGCCAACCAACATGCGGCAACATGCTCGGCCTTTTCTGGCCTGATTAGGTTAGTTTCGTACCAGCTTGAATGCATCTGAGCCTAAGCTGAATATCTGCACTCATGTCACCTATGCAGCAAGCAGAGCTTGACACAGAACATTACCAGCACAGCCGACTGGCGATGCGGCAATGAAAGGATATCGGGAAATGGAGGACCAAACGTGTTTGTTTGTTTGAAAGGTGCTTGTGTGTGTGTCTGCGCGTTTTGCTTTGTGTGCGTGGGTGTCTGTGCGTGCCTGTGCATTGTCTGCACTGCACAGACGTACTTATTCAGCACTTGCATACTGGAAGATGTCTCCACAAGCCTGTGAAGCCTGTTCTGAGCTTCAGATGCATTCTAAAGATGACCTAAACCTGGCTTGAACCTCGTTGTAGAACTCACGAGCATGATGTCTCTGGCCCCCCAGATCCTTAATTTATCTAGGATCGGGTGGCACTGCCCGGCGGCAACGGACTGCTTGACCTGCGAAAGTGCCGTGGCTGCATAGCGGTCTCCTGGATCGCAGCGAAGTGGAATTCTGGAGGCGTAACCAAGTGCTTGAGAAGCTGCTTAGCATAAGGCTGCAGCTGCACGCGAGAAGTCTGCATGGGCGATATGTCATGATTCTTGAAGACCAACAGACACGCAGCAATCTGTGTTTTCGAAGTCCTGTCCCCATATCCCGCTGCATTGCCGGCAGCTGATGAGATGCACTAGTCGCGACGACAGGATGCGGAAGTCGACATTCTGTTTGCTCGATCACGGCCGCTACATCTCTATTTTCTAGTCTACTACCGCTGCAGCCCCTATTGCAATTGTTCTACCACTGCTGCTACTACAGTCGAACCTTGGTGGCAGCGGTAACAGCCAGAGGAGGCATGCTGATATTGGTCGCGAGATGCTTGTTTTTGTCAGGAGCAGCCTGGAGGAGCTACAGCTCGCAAGGATTTACACACGCAACAGAACAGAGGCAACTTGGCTAATCGTCGATGGTTGCAAAGGACACCGCGCGGGCTTAGATTTCAGGATTAACTAGGTGGTGCCCATGTTATGCTCTGCAGATTCCAAGTCCTTGTGAGGGCTTTCCACATTGAATCTTGACACACGCCCGTCCGAATTCATTCAGCTGAATGCTTTTCGGTGCTTGTGCACGTGAAAGCCATGGTTGAATCTCAGGTCTTGCATTGGGAATGACGCTTGCATTTGTGGATGTTTGGGGCTGTCCGAGAATTGCTTCCGTCAGCTGCTTTAGCAGTCTGTCAGAACTTGTTTCATACACACACACAAATGAAAAGCCGTCGGGTTACTCTGTGGATCGCTGCCCTCGTATTTAATGCCTTCAGACTGTGCTTGCGGAACTACAGCTTCAGCAACAGATCATTGAAGGCAGACACAAAGGTGAATTCTACGTGAACAACCGCACAGCATCAGAGAAACTGACCTCCTAACTGAAAGTTGCAAGCCGGCCAGGTAGCATTGGCACAAGGCTATCTCAGCGAGGAGGAGTGTGGGTTCTACCTTGTGCAAGCCGCAACGGTAGTGACATGCACAAGTTCAGAGTTCAAAAATAAGGAAGAAAATGATGACAGGGAGCACACGTGGTATAAGCATGGTACGTAGGATAGCAGTTGAAGCAGCTACGAGTGGCTATACGGACCCTAACCCGTCGTGGTCACTACACAAGCAGCAAAGCATGCTTAGGATCAACAGTGTAGGTTGGAAGCTGCAGCATTTATGAAACGGCAGCACTAAGAACATGTCAGTATTGATGTATGCCGTTCTAGTATACAGATGTGGATATGCATATGTACATATGAAAATATGCTTCTGAATATCGGTGTATACACATTCAGCTGTCCATGGGTGTATATACATAATCACAAACATCTAGAAAACAAATTGCGACATGCACGTGCAATATATATATATATACATATATATATATATACATATATATATATATACATATATATATATATATACAGATGCACACTTAACATCTGCCGTTGCGCGCGCATACGGCTTTAACCGAAAGCGCTGAGAGGGTTTCTAGCGACTGCCTTTGGGATAGATTCGTGCGAAGACACCTCCAGGATGATTCTGATGGTGATGAGCTCGACGGCAAGTTGTACACAGCATCCCAACAGCAGATTCATTTGCTGAGAGATCTCTTTTTGCCATGCATTTGGTGGGAATCGCTTTGCTGATAAGCACTGCGCCAAGGAGAAGTACTACCACGACAATGGCAACCTCAAGTGCTCGAACTTTCCGAGAAAGCCAGATTTAGTCGCAGTCGCATTGGAGAAGCCGTATATAAAGCTGTCACGGTCAGAGCTTCTTCCGTTGCTGCTCTAGGTACTTTCGAACTTACCTACGACTCCCTCCGACGGTAACACAGCAGGGAGCTCTGCATGCTGAAGTTTCAAGATCGTTCACAGGCCAGCGGTCGAGAAACAAATTGACAGCAGTGCAAACGACCTCCATGTTCAGAGGTTGGACGACACAAGCCAAATAACACCCGACACATGAGGCCAAAGAGTTTCGGCCCAGTTCGTTTGAACAGCTGTCCTACTATGACTCAGTGTCAGCAAGCATGATTTGTATTCACTGTTGGAACCGTTGTAACAACGAGGCTTCTTCTGACCATAGCGGCATTGGCACTGGTAGGTGTACTATTGTAGGACTCAGCTTAAAAGGTGGTAGCCTTGTATTGGGATTATGGAAAGTACTTGCTGGCGAAGAGGGCGCCATGTTGCTTTCTATACATTTATTAAAGTGCTACGAAACCTAGTCTTTTGCACGATTTCGAGAAAAGCCGGTTTGTTGCGAATCACGGATTCGAAGGCCGGTTTCCAAAATGGTTGCTATGATGATTGTTGTACTGAACATCATTGTCATCATCTTCTTCGCCATCACCATATCCTGGCGCATTGGCGAACAGGCGAAAACTCTGTGAATACGAGTGTTTTGGGCATGCTCGCAAAAGGCATGCAGGCTTGTGACAAATCCTTCTGCATTTTGTCGCAAAGGGACAAAGTACCCCTGTTTTGGGCATGGTCGCCGTTAGAACCGACGTCGTTATCCCCACCCCCCCACCCCAAGCCCGTAGAATCATCCGCGGTACCCAGGCAAGTAGCACTGCTCCCTATGCGCCCGCCGCCGCCAACTATTTGCAAATGATACACTCAGGCAGCTTCCGGTCTTCGGGTGGTCTCCTGCTGGTTTCTTGGTGATCTGCTGGAGTGTCCTGGTGCTTGAAGTCTCAGGTGTTTTCTTGGGTGTCTCCTGGTGGTCTGTCTCCTCGTGCTCTCGGTCGTCTTGGTCGTTGTGCTGGTCCCGGTGATCGTGATGGTCGTCGTGGTGCTCTTCCAGTGTTACGCTAGCACAATCCCGTAGCAAGTGTTATTGTTACCATGCTACAAACATTGCTCGAACGTCTGCCTGGGGTTGAGTGGATTCACCAAGGCGGGCATGTGAGAGGGTGGTTGAAGAGAAGCACTTCGACGTGGACGGTGCTCTCGACTGCATGCTTGCAATTGCTGTGACTAGGCCGCTGCATGTGCAACGTGGAAAGGGACAGGGTGTTTGCACAGTGCACAGGTGACCTGTAGAGCGACCGGAGTAGCACGGTGCCCACTTTTATGCAGGCATGAGTTACATGTGTGGCAGCAAGTCGTGCATGTACAGCCTCATGAAGTCATTGGTTTTTGCACTGTGGCCTTCGCCTGTCATGACATTAGATACATGCATCATTGGCAGCCGAAGCTTCAAATTGTGTTAGTACAATGACAGGTGTATGCCGTCTCGATGTGCACTTCGCTCTGGGACAGGCGATGCTTACGAACGGCTTGCACGTGTTCTTAGTGGCAAATGGCAGGGAACATGCATGCCGGAAAGTCAACGGATGTTGTCTGGAATATCGTGCTGTGATCTGCTGTCGCTCGTGTATCTCAACCAGCCACCTGCCAGCCTTTCCTGAGCCGCAAGCACTTCTACCCAAATCAGCGGATGAAGTCAGAAAAGCTGCTGCTTGGCTAGTTGAGGAGCCTGCGACAGCGACCTCTCGTGATCGGGTGACAAAACCCATCCTAGGTTCTTTGTGGAGGACGAGCGGACGATGCAAGCCAGAAAGGCTTTGCCCTGCATGTTTTCGAGGTGTCAACACCTACAGTGTCGGCACGGATGTGATCGAAGTTGCCTGCCCACAGCTTCTACGGCGAGCCCATTGACCTTTGATTAGGAAAGAGCGTGAAGTCGGGACACGGAGCTCCTGCAGCCCTGACATGGCAGGCTGGGCACTGGAGAGAGTACTATGAAGGAGGGCAAATCAAATCGGAAATTCAGCGTGGCACCAAGAGTCAGCATGCGATAATGACGTTTTCCGCAGCTAGTTGCACCAGTAGTTGAGCCGTCAGTTTGTCCCAGGTACGACGAGCATGGAGTTCGAAACGGATTCTGCAAAAGGCAAGAATCTGATCAACATGCCTTCGCTGCTTTGATGTGTGGTCTGTTCGCATCTGAGTGGAAATCACTAGCCGGCGTCTCGAATTCATTCAGAGTCTCAAACTCTCGGCTGACTAGTAGAAAGGATCGGGCCCACGCGCTCTGCTTCGCGACAGGTATGGGGTCGATGGTTCGCAGGAGTGGGTCAAAGACTACACAAAGGACCCGCTGCAGCTTTAAGCTCCAATAGTCGCTCCGTTAGGCGGGCACTTGTGTTCACGCCAACACTTCGTAAGTGAGCCAAACTCACAAATAAGGCGGACGACCAAAAACACAGACCATGCGATATGGCAGACATATCACCGCACTGCCCTCGGCATGCCTGCTTCGCAGGAGTACGGAGAGCGCATTGCCGTGTTCAACGCGAAGCGAGGGCAGCTTGAGTCGAATTTGCGAAGCTGCTGGCTCTCTGTGTGCGTGTGTGTGTGCGTGCATTCTCATGGTGTGCTTCAGACTTTGCAGTGTCCCGAGCACTTGAGCACTACCATCCTGGCTGGAAAATTCCTGCTTGCCAAGTCCTAAGTCTCCGGGTCGCAGCCTGTCATTCAGGAAGCTGTCGCTCAGTGCAGAAGAAGCTGCGTTCTTGCGCCTTCCTCAGTGTGGTAAGCATCTAGCATCCCAGTATCACAGGCGTTGTATAAGGCGCAGGTAGACACCTCGGCTGAGCCACTGGACACGCGTGCAGTCATCGGGAAGACGTCTGATCAAAGGGGTTTGTGCCGGCAACAAGTCGCTGCTGAGAGGCTGGGCTTTCCTGAAGGGTACGTTCCGAAGGACCGGAAGGAGGCTCCTGGTCACCGGTCGGTCGCGCTGATCACTCTGAGTCTTGACATTTTCGGAAGCTGCCACAGGTGGACTCCTACTATCGCAAGAAGTGCGCACCGCCCCTTGGGCCCAATGTAACATGTGTAGTGCAGTTCCTTTGCAGGATGTCGCAGCGCAAGCAATTAGCATGGTTGTGCATGCAATAGGTGAAGGACTGACAAATCAGCAACCTAAGCGGCCCTTGAATCAGAGACTGCGCATCAGACACAGAAGGCAAGCATCGGAAACCGGGCATCGGCAATTGGCGCGCATCGGAAACCGGCACTCATGGGGATGTGGGCATCCGAAACCGCCGCGCATCGGACACCGATGACAACGTCCATGATACCAGTGCACCCATATCTAAGAGCATCCATGCCCGAGCCTTTTGTACTCGTAATCGCAAGCTTCGCTGTCGTAATTTATCGTACAAGTAGGTCTCAGTTTTTCCTTTGTGGCTCCTGAAACCCGGAGCGTCCTCTACCTGCTAGCAAGTTTCCCACAACCGGCGAATCCACTCCCACAGACCCAATAAAGGAACCCCTCAGCTTTAAACCCCGAAAACCTCGCCTGAACCCAAACCCTCAAAGCCTAAAGCTTCAAACCTGAGACTCAGAGCGAGACCAGCATTTTCTCTTGACTACAATTAATCGTCTTTGGTTTCCGAACCACCCGTCTGTTTCTAAGTCAACCGTTCTGTTTCCAAATCACGCCGCTGGTTTCCGATTCAGCTGTTCTGGTTCGGTGGACCTGCAATAGGTTCCTATGGTAGACAGCTGTCCCTGCTGAGAGCTACAGGGAAGCCCGGCAAGAGACTGTAGACAGTTGATAGGACGAGAAACTTACGGAGGCGCGCCAGTCGGCGCGGCGTGCCTGACAAGCACCCTGAACCCCGGGAGACTAGAATAGAATAGAATACACTTACATCCTGTGAACTTGTGGAGAAGACACTGGTGCAGAAGATCTAGTCGCCTCTCTGAACAGGCTGCACCCTGACAAGTCTCCTGATCCGGACGCGCCTGCCCGACTTGTTTCAGAAAAGAGGGGAGATGGAGCTCTCAACATTGGACTAGAGAGTTATAACCAAAAGTCACAGGATCCTTAGGGGTAGTTCAGTTCGCAGGGCGGAGGGTACTGGGGATCCTCAGCGAGCCTTGGGAAAACCTTGAGGAGCACTGGGGACACTAAGGTATCATTGCGTTGTGTACCCTCCTCGTGTTCCTCTCAGGATCCCATAGACAAGAGTTGGCTGTCGGCTATCTCGTTGTGAGCCCTGGCGGCTCTCAAATCTCTCAAGAGCCAAAGAGCCCCTACACTACACGTAGTGCCTAAAGCAGGCACGAGCGATTCTTGGAGGTGAGCCGGGCCCGCGAGGCTGGGTTCCTTTTTTACTGGCTCTTTGTGTGACGAAGATGGGGAGGTCCTGATCAAGTGGCTGGAACCTGCGAGCTCCTGAGCTTTTCGGGAAGTGCTGGCCCCTCTTGTCGCTGTTATTTTTCCATCTGAGGAGAGGCCTGGGTCTTGAGGAGCTCTGGAGCTCCGCGAGACTCTGAAGACATCCTTGTTCCTGCGCCCTTTGAAGGTCAGTGAAGAGCGGGCCAACGATAGCCTTCCATTTTTCAATACACAGTAGAGATAGCTATACTTTCGATAACGTTTGACGCTGCGCCGGGCATGCAGAGATCAGCATCAGCAGTGCGCTGTGTCGGGCGAACAGAGATGCCTTGACACGCGAGCTCCAGCCATGCACATCCTTTTACAAAGCGGGCTTGTTGAACTGCCAAGCTTCCGAGTCGTCTAGACCATCCCGCTTCCATTCCTTACGGTTCTGCCCGTGACAGGACGCACTGTCTGAAAACGCTATACTATACAGTGTTTCCACCATCGGCAGAGTGTCTGAAATTCTGCATGTCAAGGTATGTCACAGTACAGAGTGGCCAAGACTGTTCGGAGGTGCTTTTTGCTCCGAGGCAGATGCCCCAAAGAAGGGTTAACCGGTATCGCCTGATCAGCTGCGAGGGAGACATGTGAAAAGGACTCGTTGTACGTAACAAGCATCCGGCGATAATACCTTGAAAGATCTCCGTAGGCACTGCCAGGTGATGACAGTCCACCACCTCTCCATGACTATCATGATTGATCGAGTCAGAATCGTGACAGGCTAGTAGGCGCAGTCTCACCGAAGTGCGGGAACGATGACTTCCGTACTGCCATCTCGGCTTCCAGCAGGATGAGTTGCTTGTGAAGCCTTCCACGATGGCGCGGCCCTGGCTGCAGCGCTGCAAGATACTATGGCATCCTGGCTTCTGGATCTTAGCGAACTAGCACATCACCAGGGCAGCTGCTCAATACTATGGGTGTGCGATGCGCTGTCTCAATATTGCATGTAGTTTCTGCTAACGAGTTGACTCAGAAAATCCTGAAGAGAGACTCGTCCAGTCATGGCCATACCCGGCACATTTAGATTCACTGAACAGCTTTGTTAGGTTTCTGCTGGCTTCTCAATGTCTTTGCGCTTGTGGTTCTTCCATTGCCGCTGACCAGGACAGCTTCATTCCTGCTCATGCACATGTATCGCCTGCCCGATGAGAGTTTCCTACAGTAGAACCCAGAAAGTTGGAACATCATTATCCTCATGCCCCTAAGGTAACGTATAGGGAATCCCAACACTAATCATCCTGAATCCATGTTCCAACTTTCTGGGGTTTCACTCTAGATGGTTCAAGGATTGGAGGATGCAGGGGCTCCGGTCACATGTCTCCTGGCTTGGCAGGACGGGCGCAGCCGTCTTGTTCGATCCGTTGCGGTGCAGCCAGATGCCGACTTCGAGCTGCCACTGCAACTTTGTGCCCCGACTTCAGGGTGCAACCAGTTGGGCGGTTGAAAAGCACAGGCCGCACAAGGTACTGTTTGGTAACTATAACTGAAAGATGATCCTTCGACGAGAAAAGGAGCTCGCAGGGGTAGTAAGGACGCGCGAAACCGTCCACCCTGAGCCTAGGCAATGGCACGTCGGTGGAGGACCCGGGGGGAAAGAAGTGCGTGAAGTCTTGCGGGAATTGGACTTGCACTGCCTTCAGGAGTGTGATCCTGGTATGCCAGAGAAGCTGTGCAACGCGAGGTTCCACGGTCGCAGATGCTCGCGGTCGAAGTGCCAAGCAGCATCACACAGTTCTCGAGTAGATTTGGGCGGCCATGGAACGGACAAAAATGAAAAGTCGCAGATTTGCCTGCAGAACTTCGCAGACGGTAAGTATGGCTGAACGCACGTGGGCTGTGAGTCCCGACACAAGCAGGCGCCAGTCCACGACTGCCCTACCAGGATCAATAGTGCAAACATGCAAGTCTCTTTTATTGCTGCCTTGAGATTTCATGCATGAACCAGCACTACAACTTACTGATTCTCACCGTCACAAAAAAACTTGGGAAGGCACGTTGCATAGATGAGATCAGGTACGTGTGCGACGCGAAGTCCTGCTCCATGTGTCGTCGAATGGAGAATCGGTGCGCGAAGGCCGGAGACATGGCCGTGGCAGATGCAATTTGTGGCTTGTGCTCATCAAGCTTGCTGCTTGCGCAGGATGCCAGATGCAGAGCTTGAACATGTCGATGGGATAACTTGCAAGAGGCCGAGATGCCTATGAAAATATCTTCTATAGAACTCGCTCCAGATTCATTCAAATATTATCTATATTATCATAATCTCATTAGCGTAATCCAGATACAACCGAAAATTTCAATATTTCCAAAAAATATTTTTTCAGATATTCAATTTGAAATTTCAAGGAAATATTGAATTTAATATTTTTTTTGAGCCATTTAGATTTTTTAAAAGAAATCGATAATTTTGTTAATTAATTAAGATAATATTTATTCTAGAATTGATCGAAAATTTTTCTTATAGAAATGGTAAATAGATTCTTATTCTAAGAAAATGATCGATTATAAAGAAAATTTTTATTCTTTGAATTTATTTAATAGAATCTTTCTTCTTTTCATAATATTTAATTGATACTTGGTTCTATTAATTTATAAATAAATTGTTAGGCAGGTCGAAATTATATTATATTTTCTATTATATAATATTAGATTTTAGAATTTCTATGATATATTTAAGATTCATAGAATTTATATTTGATTATATTATTTTAATAGGTTTCATATTTCTATGAATATCTATTATTTTCTC